TGGGCTTGCCATGGCCACCCAAATCTCCTCCCTCTTGGGATCTCTCAACTTAAACTCTCACCGTAGACTCCTCTCAGCGGAGAAGAGCAAGAGGAACTACCAGGCAGTGCCTTCATGGATGGGTGCCCGCCAGCTGCAGCTCTTGACTGCCACCCCACAGAACCTGAAGCCCAACGTCGTTGTGGCTCAGGATGGGACTGGCAAGTACAAGACCATCACGGAGGCTTTGAAGGAGGTCCCGAAGAAGAGCAATGAGACCTTTGTGATCTACATTAAGGAGGGAGTTTACAAAGAGCAAATCATCATTGATAGGCAGATGACCAATGTCTTCATGATTGGTGATGGCCCTACCAAGACAAAGATCTCCGGTAACAAAAACAAGGCAGATGGCACGGCAACTATGCACACTGCAACATTCGGTACGTAACACGCACTTAATAACTAACATGACTATTCATCAAATATTAATCAACCATGACACATCATTTGGTGAATAAAATTAGTAAACACATTTGATGCCCTGGCTAGCAGTATTCATTGATTAAATAATTGTTTTTGGTAATTGATTTAGGATGGAAGTAACTGACACAATAATTGCATATTTCCTAATTCTAACTCATTTTCTTGTTTATTGCGTCCTTGCAGCCGCAGTTGGAGACTATTTCGTTGCCAAGGACATAAGATTTGAGAACACAGCAGGGCACATCAAGCACCAGGCCGTGGCACTGCGTGTGCAATCTGACTTTTCCATCTTCTATAACTGCCATATGGACGCGTACCAAGACACCCTCTACACCCAAACCTACCGGCAATACTACCGGGACTGCACCATCACCGGGACCGTAGACTTCATCTTCGGGGATGGCGTGGCGCTGTTCCAAAACTGCAAGATGTTGGTGAGAAAGCCAGGAGATTCACAGTCTTGCATGGTGACAGCCCAAGGCAGGACCGACAAGAACGAGATCACAGCCATAGTCCTCCAAAACTGCACCATCACTGGTGAGCCAGAGTACATGGCTGTAAAGGACAAGAACAAGGCTTACTTGGGAAGGCCATGGAAGGACTTTGCAAGGGTGGTGGTGATGCAATCACAGATTGATGAGGCCATTCAGCCTGAAGGGTGGATAGAATGGGCTGGTTCCATGTTTCACAACACTTGCTTTCTTGGTGAGTACGGCAACAAGGGTCCTAGGGCTGACATGGCCCAAAGGGTCAAATGGCCAAGCCTCAAGAAGCTTACTGCCGACCAAGCTGCCACTTTCACCCCTGCCAAGCTCTTTGAGGGTGATCGGTGGATCAAGCCCAGCGGAGTTCCTTATGTTTCTGGCATGGTGTCTGCGTAGATCACAAATGAAAATCTTAAAACAATTCTATTTTGGTCTGAAGAAAAAAAAATATCACTTCATAGTTTGATTGATTTTGTATCTTGTGATCTTGTGGAATTCTATTCCCTTTCATTTTTCCTACACATGCATACCCATTGAATGGTGATAGAGATTTTTTAATACAAAAATGCTAGTCATACCACATTTATATACCACCTTTTAAAAAAGGTGAGCTATTGGTGGGTTTCACCTCTTAGAAAAGTGGTATACAAATGTGGTATGCATAGCATTGCTCTTTTGAATATAAGAGCGGGTCCAGCAACTCAGGCTAAGGGGGCCCAAAAAGTGATTCCAGCAACTCGGGCTGGCTAGGGCAGCTGCTGGGGCCCACAAAACTAGGCCAGCTCTCAGGCAAGAATAGCCCTAGTTCAGGCTCGAGTTTTGCTGACGTTAACCAAAAAATAAAATAAAAAATAAAAAAATCCAAAAAAAATTCAGATTTTTTTTAAAAATAAATACTTAGTCATAGTTTTCACTTCCCACACCAAAACTCTATACAAATTTCTCTCCTCATATCTCATGTGAATAGTTGTTACCATGACAATTGGTGGAAACACCACAACCTTTTGCAAGGGCAACCACTATTCACGTGAATAGTAGCTGCCCTAGCCCCCCCTTGCCATGACAAAGGGCAAACTGCTGGAAGTGCTCTAATGGTGATCGAGGTAGCGTGCCCCCTTGCCATGACAAAGTGCAAACTGCTGGAAGTGCTCTAATGGTGATCGAGGTAGCGTGGAGATAAAATGGAAAGAAATTAAATAACTAGTAGTGATAACAATTAATGACAATAATATATATATATATCCACCTCACAACCCCAAAGATTTAGAGTGTTGCTAAACAAACTATAAAGTTAACTGAGTACACCATATGATCTAAGTACACCATAATATTTAAATCAAAATGTAAAATTAACTAAGTACACCCTATTTAACTACCAAAAATACCTCTAATGTACACCATAATACACTCTATCACACCTTAATACCAATCCTAAACCAAATTTCTCTTTTTACATGAATTTGTACCCTCAAGTTCAGATATTTTAGAAAGAAAAGGTTGAAAACTTCAACTGGGAAAACATCTAAAGGTTTACTTTGCAAATCTAACACATTAAGCATTGTAAAGCCTGTGGGGAAGAACCTCTGCAGTGATGGCTTCTCAGCAACTCTGAACATAAAGAGGGAACGCATTTGAGAAGCAGACATGTATTGTTGTACATATTTCAGTGTGTTATGTATTGACAGGCACCAGACTTTGTCTGGCCATGGCATATTGTACTCTTTAGCAATTGTGGCAAAGTTTTGATCTATTGTCTTGGAGGTGATAATTTCCCCCAAAAGGTCATGAATATGAAACTTTTTTACCCTTCCTTCAGGTGTTACCTTTGTCAGTGCTCGTTGCGTTGTTCTTCGTGTGCATCAAGCAATACAAAAGCTTCTCACATTTGATTAAGGTTGAATATGGTGAATAGAGTGTACTTATTAAAATTATATTTGTTTCACAATTCAATATATATTTTTCTTCATTTATATTAGGATAAATTAGTAATTCAATATAAATAATTTGGTAATAAAGTGTTGATTTTATGATTCGTTTAGTAGCACACAAAATTCGCTTTTTTAACATAATCTTAGGTTTTTTAGGTTTTAGACATAAAAATTTTTTCACTTTTGGAAAAAGCCAAAGCTTTTTATAAAAAGACAAAAAAACCACTCAACTTTCAAATCAAAGACATGCAAATGTATTGGATTCCTTAGGAAATCTAAAAATAAATAAGGGCATTTTCGTCCATTTTTGCTTCTTTTAAAATTTTTCTCTCTCCTTTTGCTTTTTCCAAAATGTCCCCATAATCTTTGGGGTTGCTTAACATAATAGGACAAATAGAAGCCCATGTTTCGTCCAAAAAAAAAAAACAAATAGAAGCCCATGAAGTTATAAAGGTATTGTTTGGGTCTATTTTTGCCCAACCTAATAAATTAGGGAATTGGGCTAATTCGGATGGAAAAATAAGTGGCATGCATCCATTAAATCACACACCTAAATTCTTTGCTTGGCGTCGGCGATATCCCCACCTATTTCTTTCTGACAAGCAAATTCTCCCAATCGCTCTATGAACTTCGCCAGGTGGCAACTCACAAATGGCTTCTTATCATTAAAATAATTATAATAATTATAATAATAATAATAAAAAACCCTCGCATCCTTAATGGGACGAGGAAACTCTCCCAACCGCTCTACAAACTCGCCAAATGGCAACTCTCAATCTCAAGTTGTTTCCCACCATAACTCTGGGTTGTTTGGGTCTATTTTTGCCCAACCTAATAAATTAGGGAATTGGGCTAATTCGGATGGAAAAATAAGTGGCATGCATCCATTAAATCACACACCTAAATTCTTTGCTTGGCGTCGGCGATATCCCCACCTATTTCTTTCTGACAAGCAAATTCTCCCAATCGCTCTATGAACTTCGCCAGGTGGCAACTCACAAATGGCTTCTTATCATTAAAATAATTATAATAATTATAATAATAATAATAAAAAACCCTCGCATCCTTAATGGGACGAGGAAACTCTCCCAACCGTTCATTAAAATAATTAAAATAATTATAATAATAATAATAAAAAACCCTCGCATCCTTAATGGGACGAGGAAACTCTCCCAACCGCTCTACAAACTCGCCAAACGGCAACTCTCAATCTCAAGTTGTTTCCCACCATAACTCTGGGGTTTGCGTTTTCCTCCCAGAAGAGCAATAACAGCAACCGCTCAGCCGACCGTTGAAATGAACACAACCGAGAAGAACATAGTCGATAGACTCTCGGCAGCACGTTCGCCATTTTGGCTTTGGGAACCACCTTGGAGTCGCGGGCGGATGGGTTCACGAAAAGGTTCGTATGTATTGATAAATTGGTTCCAGAGAAACAGAGAATTTTTGCTTCGAATTTTAGGTACTTAAATTAGAAGTGTGTTTTGAATTTTGCAGCTTGTGTTGTGGCACAGCAAAGAGGATGCAAAGAGAAGGGGATTTCTCCATTAGCAGGTATTTTTCTTCCTTGAGAATTTGATGTAAATGAGATAATGTCATGATGGGCAAATGAGAACCAGAGGTGTGCTCTGTTGGTATCTAAACGGGAATCAATAAATCTATGTTTCTCTCTCTACATTGTATACACACACACAGAGACTTCCTTTCCCAAGTTCTAGCCTTTTTATTCCCAAACAAATCTCACTCCATTCTCCCCTACCATATCGATTCGGTCGAAAATATCATGAATGTTTTGCAGCTTAAATCTGGAGGATCACTAGTTGGAGAATGGATAAACATTACAAATCACATTCATATACTTAGTTCTAAGGGAAGACACAGCAGCTAGCTTTGTCAACTCCTGTTATGACTGTAAGACAATTCCGTGTCTTAGTATTAAGTTGTGGTCTTCTAATCACATCTGGTTTGGAGGAGCTCTAATTGATCAGGACGTATTAATCCTAATACCAGTAGGATACTCAATCAAACAGTGCGTTTACATTGAGATAGGAGTATCTTAAGGATTTCTAATTCTATGTGGATTAAAAACATCCTATTCCTAAGCGAACAGAATCTCTGATCAAGGTTAGTATTTGAGATTCAAAGACTTGAAATAACTTTCCATGGCATGATTAAGTAGAGAATTTCTCATACGTGTCTTGCTCCTCTTGATCTGGACGAGCTTGTCAAACACACACCATGGAAAGCTTAGGAAATGATCTCTTTCCATTCCCTTGTTGCCGCAACCCCAGTAACGAGGATGATATGTAACATGATACCAAGCCGATGCTTTTGCTGCATGTTCATCATTGATATCAGGGTTCGTATCGGACTGCATATCACTTCCCAGCTTCTCATCAAACCAGTTCCTAGCTTCCCTTTTCAATGCCTTTAGAGCGTAATGAATTGACTCCAAGTCGTTTTCCCCATTGAATCTTTTTGATACTGCAGTGATGCTCCCAGTTAGTATTTCGGCTTCAGTTTTGAAACCGTAGTCATCTATCAGGTTTCCAAGCTTGTAGTCATATTCCCTTTTGTAATTGATGGCATCTTTGACGTAGTTTTCAAATCCATCTACCTCCATGTCAGGGTCATAGAACTTCAAAGCCACTTCCATAGTGAAGGCTTTAATCGTGGCCGAGTTTGAAGGCGAATCTGATGCAAGCTCAAGATCTTTCACCCGTCGGAAAAGCTGCCCAATCACACGCTTGGACTCGTAGGTGGGTTTGTCAACCTTTTCCATAAAATCAGGGAATTCATGGACACGAAGGTGGCTTGGCACTTTCACTACCACACCAGTTTTCGGAGAGTCGACAGCATGCGAGTTGAGATGGGCGAGCTCGATACATGAAGTACTGCTAGCCTTCCAGTGCTCTCTATCTGCAAAGACAATATGCGCATTACAAATTATCCCCAAGTTGTCGTTAACTATGAAGTTGGTAAAGGATTCCTCAACCTCCTGTAACAAACACAAGAGAACACCATGAATGAGGCAGAGACAAGATTCGACAAGCGAAGAAGTATATATGTTTCTAATATCATTGACTACATTTTAGTTGATGAATTTGAGAAATACCTCCATTGTCACATCATGATCCAATTTAATAGTCTCTGCTGGGGTATAATTCATGGGTGGAACTTGCAGAGGAGGAATTAGATCAGGGTCCCAACTGACAAAGTAAAAATCTCCATCTAAATCACTTCCCGAGCATTCATTGGGATGAGGTCTGATACATTACAATGAAAGAAATGTAGTCAGTACGTAAATAGTTTGAAGGCAGCAAATTATTGTCAAACAGATCTTCATCAACTAAAAGATTCGACAAAGTTACTTACCTCTTTCCTTTCTGCGGGAAAACTACACAATCCACCATGTGGTGCAATGCCGGCACGTTCACAGCCTCAAGAACGCGAACATCCCCTGGGTGTAAACAGGGGTTTTTGGCTACCACTACTTTTCCCCTAACAATAAAATTGTCATCACTTGAAGTATCGCTCCTATTGCAACCAAAGATCTTCCGGCGAGAACATTGCACATATACTTGACCATATTCCAATGTCCGGGTTTCATCTAGACATCCCATCAAGGATCTTCCATCTGGAACAAATATCCGTGTCTTGCTCCGCAGTTCTACAAGCTTGGACGCACAGAATGCTTGTAGCATCAATGACAGAAATGGTTCTGCATCTGGCTTATAACCACACACAAGCATTTCCTTCAAAGCGTTGGTGAAGACTCCCTGGAATATGATTTCAAGTGCTTCCTGCGCTCTTAACGGGTCAGCCAAAACACCTTCCAGCTGTTTCAAAGCCTGTTTTTGCTTTTTCACAAAAACATGATTGGGGACTCCGAGGGTGGACAGAATGGTGATCACTTGACGGTTAAGGAAACAAGCTTGGTACCTGCTCCATGCCAGAACATCGAGTGTTGCGTTGTTGGATTGGTACTTGCACATGCTATCTCGCAGCGCCAACTTCTTTGACAATGTAGGATCAACTGCCACAACACCTTTATAGCCGCCGTATCGAATTTGAAAGGCAGATGGAGTTGTACTTTTGCCGCACTTGATTGCCACTCTTCCAGCAAACTCAGCAGATATCTTCCCAATTCCATCAGAGAAACAATATTTGACTCCACCTCTTTCAATTTCGACATCGGGAATGAGTTCGATTTCATCCCTATCAACATCAAAAGTCTTCCAGGAAGAGCTGAAAGCCTGACCTAACCTGGCAGCATATTTTGACGCATTTCTGATGTCACTAAAATCTCCCATCCAGTTTCTGATGTCTTGTGCAGTCACCTCACTTGTTGATGCAAACATCCACACAGAATGCTCTCGCAGTTGACTCGCCGAATGGGCAAGAAACTCAAACTTCTTTTGACCAATGACTATGCCATTTCTTAGAGTAGAAAGTATCCTGTCATAAACGCCAGTTCTCCTTTCCTCTTCTGTAGAAGTTGTACAATTCGTAAGCGGGCATAAAGCTCCTGAATGTATCAGACCCATGTCCTCATCCACGAAAGAAACACGAAGAAAATTATCAACATGTTCAGAATAATTTCGTAAAACACGGTTGGATAGATTGGCCTCTGGACCACAGAAATAAACTTTAGTCGGTGTTACTTGAACCCTGTGCACATAGACCATCCCATCATCTAAAGAAATAGCAGGCGACTGAGGAATTCGCTTGCATGCCATGTACTCTCTGTACTGCTCAGTAAGCCAACTCACAGGCTCATAGCAGCACCCTTTTAACCGAAACAGCTTGTCCAGGGCACACTCTATGTATTCAATTCTTATTCTACTAGGATCAACTAGCTTATAAAAATTGACATCAAGTGCTTTCCCAGGAACACATCCATGCTGAACCAAGGAATTTATCTTAAACAGGATTTTGTATGGCAAGTTAATGCCCATGGGTGGACCTACAATAGGAACAAGATCTGAATTACAGGAGAAAGTGTTGCCTTCCTCCAGGATGAACCGTCCTTCATTTTCTTTATAATCAACAAAACACTTGCGCAGATTTGGAAGCTCACACCTAGGTGGAAGTTCCAAGCATACAGCAGAAGATTGCCCAATGCAGCATGAAGGAGTGAAATCAACTTCTCGAACCCAGCGATTTTGAGAATCTTTCTTGAAAATCCGAGGGGCACCAAGTAACTAGCAAGAGGAAGAAGAAAGGAGGAGCAAAATGTTAGTCCTTTCACCCAATTCCAAACATAATATAATAATTCTGCTGTTCTATAAGGAACAGGACAGTTTGTTTCAACAGCATTCGAATTCTCTGTGTCGAAACAATGAAGTCATAATGTTTCAGCAACTGACATGAGATCAGATTATCATGCAGGAACTAGTGAATGCAAGACAATCTTATTCAAATATCTACTGGAATTGGTAAAAGCCACGGCTTCTACCTCAATAATAAAAATGACGATAGGATAACTTTTATGCTTCTTGATGTGGGAACGAACATGATTGAATTAAGTTTACATATTAATCAACTAAAGAACTTTGATCAATAGCTAAATTTAGAATTTACTATTTGTATATTTCATGGCAAAATGTAAAGTAATGAGTCACAAATCTTGTAGTTTAACTGGCAAACCTGGATTAGAAGAAACTTTGGAAATTGGCCCCGTGGATGATTTAGCTCAATCTGGCTACAGGATAACTTTTATGCTTCTTGATGTGGGAACGAACATGATTGAATTAAGTTTACATATTAATCAACTAAAGAACTTTGATCAATAGCTAAATTTAGAATTTGCTATTTGTATATTTCATGGCAAAATGTAAAGTAATGAGTCACAAATCTTGTAGTTTAACTGGCAAACCTGGATTAGAAGAAATTTTGGAAATTGGCCCCGTGGATGATTTAGCTCAATCTGGCTAATACTTTCAGAGGAGATCTCTAGCTTGTGTTCAACATCATCAAAAGAAAACAATAGGTAGATATTCTTAAATGCTGTCCCGAATTTCACTGAAACATACGATGTTGTCCAAAGCACAGAAAACTGTTCCTCAGAAGTCAGGAAGCCCGAGTGCAGCTTCACAAGTTCCATGTTATGTTCAAAGTTTTCAAGCTTCTGCTTTCTAGCTTTCAGATAAGAACCCCCGTACCACAGAAGTCGATCATTGGCTAATGGAATTATCACGTCAGCATATTCTGCATGTGTGAATTCAACTATGGCAGATGCTCTTGATTTTCCATCTTTAGGCGGAAGAATCTGGACATCAGAAACAGTTGCTTTCCCAGTATATTCCTCAAGAAATTCTGTCACCGCTTCTGGAGACTCGATGGAGGAAAACCCATGCAACCGAATTGTCTTGACCATGTTGGTACTGTTGATGGCAGCATCTGCTGTTTCAGAGTACAGGTTTAAAGTAATGACTCAGAACTCATTACAACTTCTTTATGCATAAGCTTAAAAAAAAAAAACTACAATAACTAGTGAAAGTCAGAAGGAAGGTTGCAACCAACTGTCCGAATTTAAAAACGGATCTGACAAGATCTGGATTACAGGACAAAATATTACCTCTCTCCAGAACGAATGGTCCTTCGTGTTCTTTATAATGAATAAAACTATTGCGTAGATTTGGAAGCTCGCACCTAGGTAGAAGCTCCAAACATACAGCAGAAGATTGTCCAATGCAGCATGGAGTAAAATCAACTCCTTGAACCCACTGTCCGGAAGCTTTCTTGAAAAGCCGAGGGGCACCAAGTAACTAGAAAGAGAGAGGAAGAGAAAATATTAGCAATTGGTAAATATGATCAACCTTTAGTAGAACTTAAAACAGTTATCCACATTGTTTTTCATTTAATTTAAATTATGTTGGGCAAACCTGGATGAGAAGAAACTTTGTAAGTTGACCGTGTGGACGACGTAGCTCAATCTGGCTACCATTTTCAGGGGTGATCTTAAGCTTGTAATCAACCGAAGCATTAGAGAAAAAAAAGTAGATGTTCTTAAGTCCCACCCCAAATTTCACCAAAACATCCGATCTTTCCCAAAGCACAGAAAACTGTTCCTCAGAAATCTTACATCCCAAGTGAAGTCGTACAAGTTCCATGCAGTGCTCAAAGATTTCTGAGTCGGGCACGATGTCAAACTTTGATTTTTTGGCTATCAGATAAGACTCATTGTACCACAGGCTCAAATGATCGGCTAATACAATTATCATATCAGCAAATTCTGCATGTGTGAACCGAACAATGGCAAATGTTCTTGACTTTCCATCTTTGGGAGGAAAAAGCTTTACAGCATGAACAGTTCCTTTTCCGGTATATGCCTCCAGAAATTCTGTCACTGCTGCTGTAGACTTCATGTCCATGGAGGAAAATCCATACAACCAAATTGTGTTATCCATGATGACGGCAACTGCTGCAGTTTCAGTGTACAATTTCGTGTTAATATATAATAGTAGAAACTAGAAAGAAATCTGAAACCTGTTAAATAACAGAGCTCAAGAAAAGAAGTAAACAGAATGCAAACATAAGACAAGCCTTGCAAGCATGGTCCTCACATTTCAATTTTCAACCAAATGCAAATGAGAAGAAAAAAATGTCCTTGAATTTTTGGTACGTAGGCCAACTTTGTTAATGAGAAAAAAAAATGTCCTTGAATTTTTGGTACGTAGGCCAACTTTGCTCTGTAAGAAACAAAGCTCATGAACCCTATATATATATATATATAGGAAAAAGAAGAGCACACAGAGGTGAGAGACTGGAGGTCAAAATTTAAGTCCATCTCACACACGGTAAATAACTTGTCATGGACGTTGTAGCTAGCACTGAAAAACAAAAAGAAAAAAAAAACTTGTCATCGCAGTTTTAGCAGGGGAAAAAATAGAGGGGGAGAGAGAAGAATTAAACTTGTCAGTGAGCAGTGGCAACCTATTGCCATGATGGGGAATCTTTTAATCCTTGATGAGGAAGGCTAGAAACAGTAATATACAAATAGAATATAGACTCTTTCAATAGAGCATTTGGAGCACTTTCTGAAAGATTGTTCGGAAAGTATTTAGATGGAGCCATCCATGTACCACACACCATCCTTGTTGGGACGGTTTTATAATTGCTTTGGCGTATATAGGGAGAGACTTAGTATTTTAAAATGGAGTGGGTTAAATTTATCTTATGTTAGTACATATAATGGAACATAAAGGTGCAGCTACTACACCGTACCAATTTATTCTTTTATTTATTTATTTATTTCACTTAAAGGGAATATGTGTGAAGAGAGTTATCAATGAAATGAAAATTAGCAGCAGGCTGTTCATAATATATATATATATATATATAATTAAAAAGAATTTGGCAGTAGGCTAAAAAAGTAAGAAGAAGACGGAAATACTTTTCATTTTAGAGAGAACTTTACATAGATGTCCTGGAATAGTCAAAGAGAATTGAATTCATTAGTTCGTCTTATCTTCTTTTCCTTGAGTGTATTGTTGGATGAGTTATGAGTCTTGATTTGATGTGAGCCTTTGGATGTGAGCGTGGCATGATTGTCATTAGTAGGCATGAGTGGGATAAATTAAATTTTAGGCTGATAGAATAAGGTCATCTCTAGTCATGGGTCATAAGGCAAACGTAGCCCTAAAATAATGCAAAACTCATTTCCAGCCATGAACTATAAAAAAAAATATAAAATAAAATAAAAATGGCCAAATTTGGAGGGCCACATTTAGCTCTTTGGCCCTCCAACCAAGCCACTTGTAACTCAGCTATAGTCCAGGCCACATTTAGCCCTTTAGCTGTTACTTTTTTTTTTTTTTTGCTTTTTAAATGTATATAAATTTTATAAAAAAAAAATTTATAAACAATTGGTTCTGACCGTTGGGAGGTCAGAACCCTTTGAAATGCATCAATTTTTTTTTCTTTCAAAATTGTCGTTGTTGGCTTTCTTTTCTTTCTTTTTTTTTAAAAAAAATTTAAACAAACTTAAAATATGTCTATAAATGCCTCAAAATTTCTTCAAAAATATTCCTACACATTTTTTGTCAAATACTTTCCACACTCATTTCATTCAAAAATCTTATTAGAAATCTTGTTAAATGCTTATCAACGTACACTTGTCATATCTGGAATATTGTCCCTAAATAGTTTAATTAAATTAAACACTACATAGTAGTGGAATGTATGAGTGTTGCACCATAGTTTTTTTCAAAATAATAAAATATTTAGGACCCTAAAATATAGCCATGCATGGCTGGAGATGGAAAAATTTAACCTTACACTATTCTTTAAAAAATTAATATTTTAAAGGGCTAAAATTATAGCTCTAGATTATATTTAGCCCCATAACTGGAAAATCAAGTTATTCTTTTCTTTTTTCTTTTTCTTTTTTGATCGAATCAGGTTAGTCCCTTCTAAGCACCATCCCTGCTTGTGGAAGTTTTGAACCAATCATGATGGCTTGGTCCTTTAAGAGAACTTTGGCAAAGAATCTTATAGAATCTCACATTGCCAATAAGTACTCACGTATACTTCCCATGCTCGGGAAACTTTACTTTGCCCCTTGCTGAGCATGATTTTGGGTCAGGGAGGAGAGAGAGCATAACTTGACTGAGTGAGAAGGAATCTGAATGGGTGCTTGTCTAAAAGCAGTGCTAAATTTGAGCATTTTATGTGTTTTTTTGTTTTGGTGAGGAACTTGCTCCCAAAGGAGTTAGAGATGGAGCCACCCACTTCTCACTATCCTAGTTAGGAATGTTTTTTCATGCAGCATTTGGGATGAAAATTTGAACAATTAATCCGCGTCCACATTTATAGCCCATCAGAACCCATTTGAGTTTCAAAAACCTAAAAAACTTCCCTTTCTCTATTTTGTTTACTTCACCAGCTTTTTTCATGCATGTGTCAGTGGGACTTACAAATGGAGATGTAAAAATTAATGTATATCTATGAATTTTTTTACACTTTCAGGCGAGACGTAAATTTACATCTTTAACATTCCGGCCAATTGAAGCTCTAAATAGTACAACACAAACCATGAAAGAAAATGTGGAATTCATCTAATAGTACAATACAAAGAAAAAGTGAGACAGATGCATAGAGGAGGATGAGAAGATGAAGGGAAGAGACTGAGGTTTTTAACCGTAACACTTTTATATTTTTCTTTTTAAAAAACAAAAATTAGTTGGATGAAACCTATTTAATACATTCATTATGCATTATTAAAACAAGAAGCATTCTTGCTTTGGTGATTTACGGTGCGTTTGGATGAGGGAAATAATCTTGGGATTTTGACAGAAGTCATAATTTCTAAGAGCATCTCCAGCATTCTCTTCAAAGGCTTTGGGACACTAAAATAGGTGAGCCACATAAGCAAACCTTCTCCAACAACCTTGTCAAACCCACTCATTCAAATTTGGGACTCCTCATTGACTCTACAGAACACATTTATTAATTAAGCTTTGGAACAACAAAAGCCAGTGAAAATGATGAATTATTATTTAAATATTGATATGGTATTGTTAAATCAAATTAAATATTAGTTTTTGATTAAAAAGAAAAAAGAAAAGTCAAACATTGAATTAATTACATTGAAGAGGCTGTTGGAGGTACAAAATAATAAAGTAGCAAACTTTACTCTTCAAATTGTCACGTAGGCCAACAAACCACAATTTGAAGAGTTTAATTTGTAGAGACTATTGGAGATGCTCTAAATTGACATAAACCGTGTTTAGATAACAAAACAACAAAATTTATAAATTTCACATGAGAAAAAATATGGAATTTGGAGATCATAAATCCAAACTTTAAATTCTATCTAAATAATCCTCATTTCTAAAATTCCAAAAGTAGAGATTGAGTTTTAAAAAAATAGAACTTTACAAATGAACATTAAATTACGTGTTTAAATTTGTTAGCCAAACAAGAAACTTTATAAATTCTACCACATTAATTTCCATTATTTTATATTTTGTCATTTATAAATGGGACATTTTGGAAAAAGCAAAAGGAGAGAGAAAAATTTTAAAAGAAGCAAAAATAGACAAAAATGCCCTTATTTATTTTTAGATTTCCTAAGGAATCCAATACATTTGCATGTCTTTGATTTAAAAATTGAGTGGTTTTTTTGTCTTTTTTGAAAAAGCTTTGGCTTTTTCCAAAAGTGAAATTTTTTTTATGTCTAAAACCTAAAAAACCTTTTATAAATTCCTTTGTATTTATAAATTTCGGGAGCCTATACTTCCAAGTATTTGATGCTATAAACCGTATTTAGCATTGGAATTATTAAAACTATCGATGCCGATGTAGATTTAGGCATCCGGAATCAACGTTGTTTTTGCACACATAAGGAACTTTAGCATCAATGTGATTTAAAAAACTAAAGCTTTAAATATATAAATTAAGGCAATCCAACTATAGCTTTCCAGGGAAAAAGATAAATGTAATATACATTGACACAATGGTTGTGGTGGCCTATACTTCCAAGTATTTGATGCTATAAACCGTATTTAGCATTGGAATTATTAAAACTATCAATGCCGATGTAGATTTAGGCATCCGGAATCAACGTTGTTTTGGCACACATAAGGAACTTTAGCATCAATGTGATTTAAAAAACTAAAGCTTTAAATATATAAATTAAGGCAATCCAACTATAGCTTTCCAATCAATTCATTTTCATAAACATATAGAACTATACATATGATGCTTGCTTACGAGAAAAATGCCTGCCTGCTTCCATAGAACAATATTGTGTCAACGTAGACCTAAGTATGGTTATATTGGTCTTTACTAGTGGCAGATCCAGGATTCCAAATTCGAATAGGCAAAAACTTACGTACAAAACTTGACAAGAGCTTATAATAACACTATACCAAATTTTGCCATAAGCAATGGATAATATCGTTGCCAACAGTTGCCTATAACCCTCAAGAAAGGAGAAGGCTTCTCTAGTTTGCAAAGGTAGTCATGAATGTTTGTAAATTGTATGTACGTACTATATGTGCGACCATGGTATTACTATTTAATAAATTACTTACAAATCGCCTCTCAGTAGGACAATGCATTTTATGTTTGTCTCAATCAGGTGATACATATATAGATAAAATTTTATATATTTTCCTTCTTTATTTGATTTCTTAACCCAACTTTGAAATTAGAAAGTCGTGTTATTTGCGAGTTTACACAAGTCAGACGATAACTAACAAATTTGATGAGTTATCTTTTGGATGTGGGGCAGAAATACATGAGGAATTATTGCCACAAGAAAACGTAAGAATCTCGGTCAATATGAAGCATCCCAGCTAATATCCAGAAATCATATTCAACCCTTAGGTTGCGTTCTAATGATTGTTTAAAACGGCAAAAAAAAAAAATAAAAAAAAATAAAAAAAAAAAAATTTGAGAGAAGGCAATTAATATGATTTTATTTATTAGAGAAAATGAGACAAGTATAAAAGATGGGCTTACATCCCAAAAAACTACTTGTTAAAATTCTCAAATAGAACATTTGTAAGAAAATCTGGGAGCTCTTCAAATCAAGAGAGAGCTTAGCGGCAGATATGGAAATAACCATCTCCAGTGACCTGAGACAACAAATGGGCTAAATTTAGACCTCAGGAGCATAGGAGTTTATCTTATTATAATTATCTCATCCGCATGTACGTAGCAGTTCAAATTCACAAAAATGTCTAAACAAAATTGTTAATGGGTACAACTAGCTTAAAAAAAATGTGTGATATATATTGATATTCATAAACAAGGGAAGGCATCCCACAAGATCACAACTTCACAAGACACATAATCAAGCAGCGAAGTAAAATTGTTTATCTTTTCTTAAGAAAAGAATTGGTGTTGTAAGATTTTTCATCTGGGGATCTACGCAGACATCATGCCAGAAACATAAGGAACCCCACTGGGTTTGACCCATTTATCACCCTCAAACAACCTCGCAGGGGTGAAAGCCGCAGCTTGTTCTGGAGTAAGCTTCTTTAGGGTTTGCCATTTGACCCTCTTGGACATGTCAGCCCCAGCACCCCTGTTGCCGGACTCAGCCACAAAGCAACTAGTGTGAAATTTCTCACCAGTCCATTCTGTCCATCCTTCGGGCGCAATCGCATCGTCAATCTGCGACTGTATCACCACCACCCTTGCAAAGCCCTTCCATGGCCTCCCCAAGTAGGCCTTGTTTTTGTCCTTTACAGCCATGTAGTCTGGCTCACCAGTGATGGTGCAGTTTTGGAGGACAATGGCTGTGATCTCATTCTTGTCGGTTCTGCCTTGGGCCGTGACCATGCAAGACTGTGAATCCCCTGGCTTTCTAACCACCATCCTGCAGTTTTGGAACATCGCTACCCCATCTCCGAAGATGAAGTCCACTGTTCCGGAGATGGTGCAGTCACGGTAGTATTGCCGGTAGGTTTGGGTGTAGAGGGTGTCTTGGTACGCGTCAATGTAGCAGTTGTAGAAGATGGAAAAGTCTGATTGCACACGCAGTGCCACGGCCTGGTGCTTTGCGGCTCCTGCTGTGTTCTCAAATCCTATGCCCTTGGCAACGAAGTAGTCTCCAACTGCGGCTGCAAGAATGCAGTAAATGAATGAGTTAGAATTAGGATATGTAAATAATCAAAATAAATTAACTAATGAGCACTGCTAATTTTATTTACCAAATGACGTGTCAATAATTTGTGACTGACGTACATTATTTTAGCGAACATATTTAGTGAAAAAATATGTTGGGTGTTAGGTGTTACGTACCAAATGTTGCAGTATACATAGTTGCGGTACCATCTGCATAGTTTTTGCTACCGGAGATCCTTGTCTTGGTAGGACCATCACCAATCATGACGACATTGGTCATCTCCTTATCAACGATGACATACTCTTTGTAAACTCCCTCCTTAATATAAATCACAAAGGGCTGGGCGCTCTTCTTTGGCACCTCCTTCAAAGCTTCCGTGATGCTCTTGTACTTGCCAGTCCCATCCTGAGCCACAACCACGTTGGGCTTCAGACTCTGTGGAGTGGCAGTCAAGAGATCCAGCTTGCGAGCACCGATCCAAGACGGCAGCGGCTTATAAACCCTCTTACTCTGGCCACCTGACGAAGAACCGAGGAGTCTGCGGCGGTGGGAGTTTGAATTGAGGGATCCCAACAGTGAAGAGATTTCAGAGACCATGGCAAGTCCATTGCTTGTGAGTTCTTGCGCGGTCTTCAAAAACCCTTTCATTTTCTCCCCGGCCTCACCCTTGGTGCCCTCAAACGCGTCCAGGCAAGTTTGCTGGTGATTGACGGCGGCGCTCAGCCACACTTTGAGGTCCTCAACATATTCATTCATCTTGCTGGCATCGAACGGCCCCATTTTATCCACGGCAGCTAGGAGATCCTCAGTGGAGGTATCCAGCATTTCCTTGCAGACGTCCAGAGCCTGGCTGGCCATGGGATCCTTGGCAAGATCTTTCAAGGTGTTGGAGTTCTGGATGACCTCGTCTAGCTTGTCCGCTGCCACCTGAAACCCGGCCTTGATCAGCTCTTTCGGGTCGGAGGTGTCGCCGGCCGCTTTCTCGAGGCTGCTCTGGCAGGTTTCTTTGTAGCTGGTGGTTTGGCAAATAGTCTCAATCGCCTTTTTGGACGAGGCTGTTCCTTTGTTCTGTTTCGCACTTTTTCTGCTGCATGTGACACCCACCGCCACCGCCACTATCATCGCCACCCCCATAACAGAAAACACGATGATGGCGGCGATCTTCTTCTTCTTTGCATCAGCAGCCATCTTGGATGATTAAATTAATAAAACAAACAACTACAACAACGCTAGGTAACACACGTGTGAATGAGAAAGAAAATGAATTAATTGGAGAAGAAAGTAATGTACGCTTTCTTTTTTTATAATTGTTTTTCTCTTTCTCCAGTGAGCTACAGAGCGCTGTTGGGGCTTCGCTTGTTGGAGGATGGTTTTTGGTGCCCCTGAGGCTCTGGTCTGGTTTGGTCTGGGGAAATGGCATGGAATTTATAGGGAAGACACAAACCTAAATTTCTGAATGGCAGTTTATTCTGTTAGGAGATGGTAAGGTTGGAGATCACCCAGTCACGAGTCAAGACAAAATAGAGGGTCGTTAGTCATGTTCACTAAATTTGGGACTATTCAAATTAAGACATACTAATATCGTATTAAGCTACTAGTAAGTGACTTAATTACATAAATTGGGGGAAGATTAATGGCTAATTTTATGTTTTGTTTTGGGTTTTCCTCTTTTTGCTCAATTAGTGAGCGGTAATATTTAGTTATGACTCTCCTTCAATCGTGGATTGCCATGCAGTTACTATAGAAAGTATTACTATACATGTAGCTAGCTAATCACGTCGGACAAGTTTTTTTTTTCTTTTTTCGGTTGAATCGTCGGACAAGATAATTGGGATATATATATATTTTTTTTGGGTCAAAGTAATTGGGATATTATATTGAATCATGTTACATGTGTGTATGCTATCTTGTGTGTCTAAATAGCATTATTTATTGTGATAATCGGGATTATCTATATTTGGCACTATAGTGGCTTTGTACTTGTTTCTGTTACTCTTATCAATAAAATACTATCATTTTTATAAAAAGAAAAAAAAAACAGGTATAATCGAGATTTTGATTAACTTGCCTAATTTTAGTAGATAATATTTTTTGGGTAAACTACAATAAACCCCCCAATCTATAGGTCATTTACAAGTGCATACCCGATTTTGGGGACATTTACAAGTACATACTCAACGTCGCGGAAAACCTACAATTATAATTGTAGAGAATTTTGTTGATGTAACATCTGAATATTGTATCATGCCAACAACCAAAAAAATCTGAATATTGTAGATTATTTCGGTATAATATTCAGTGGATATTCCTGATTTCCTTCCAATTTCTTTAAGTTCATAACGACATTGGATATCACTGTGTAAAGAGAAATGAGTGGGATAAATATTCCAAATAAAACAAAATGAGATTGATATTTCTATAAAGATCTAAGAGAGAAACATGGAGGGTACATTAATAGATCGGCTGCAGACTTCTCCTCTGAACTGTTTTTCCTTATACATAAAATTTATTTTGACATCAATGAGATTATTGATCCTAGAAATTTTAAAAAAGTAACATTATTGGTCACAACATTATTGATCCTATATATCAACTGTAAGTTTTGATGCAGTATTTGCCTATAGGGGAAAAAAGGATCTCGTTTGTTTTGTGGGAGTTTTGTCCTGAGAGTTTCAGAGTTTAGCTCTCTGAAGTTCTAACTTGGCAATAGTACCCAAATGGACTTCATCTGGACCATCTGCTATTCTCAGTGTTCTTGCCGTGGCCCAAAGATGAGCCAGACAAGTGTCGGACGACAAGCCAGCAGCGCCATGCACTTGCATTGCCATGTCAAGTACCATCAGCGCCATGTTTGGGGCTGCTACCTTTGCCATTGCTAAAGTTCCTCGGGCCTTTTTGTTTCCAAGTCTATCAAGTTGATCAGCTGCCTCCAGAACCAACAATCTGGTTTTCTCTAGCTCTATTCGACACTGCAACACAAAAAGCCGATTTAGAAAAGAGTCCAACATTATTGCAGTAAGAGATGAATCTGAAGATATGCAAGGAAGATTCAACTCAGATCACTTCTTAAATCATTTGAACAGCTGGAAAGCCTGGAGTTCTTAATCATCTGGGTTGCATAATCAGTCTCTGTTTATAAATTTATAGAAACATAAGTTTCTCAATTATGCTTTTGAAGGGTGTAAAATTATCATACCTTCGCAATATCTGAACGAAATGAGCCCTGTTCAGCAATCAACTTCCCGAAAACTTTTCTACTAAGAGCCCTTTGAGCCATTATCTGCATGCCACGCTCAGCAGCTCCCATCAGTCTCATGCAATGGTGCAACCTTCCTGGGCCTAGTCTACCCTGCAGAAATTAAGTTTGCTTTAATAACTAAAGCAAACTGAGGATAACTGCACAGTGAACCTAGGATATGTCCAGTCACAAAACCAACAAGAGCTCACCAACAAACTAATTAAGTCCTTTCGACCAAGTAAAAAAAACTAATTAAGTCCTCAAAAAAATAAGAATCATCTCTTAATTTGCAGAAAGAAATCTCAGAAATGAAGATATTTCATTTTGCGTTATAGGCCAGCCTGCGGTGATACACACATACTACAAGCTTCTAACAGGACATTGGAGATGATCAAAGTCCTTAATCATGCAAGTTGCCAAATCAAATTGTTGATTTACCTCAGAAAGCTTGAATTTTTAAGGTTAGAAATTTCAAATATCATTTGGTGAGGTTGAGAATATAGTACTCAACGGATATCAAAATTGCAATATGTTACTCAGAAAGCAGTGAACAATACCTGTGCAATCTCAAACCCACGTCCTTCTCCTAGTAGAATATTCTTTGCTGGGACACATACATTCTCAAATAGTACTTCTGCATGCCCATGAGGTGCATCATCAAAGCCAAAAGAACAATTAATTAAATGGCATACAAGAAGAACTAACCATGACTATAAGAAGTCTGCACCTCGGATCCATAGCGCCACTTGTCCACCATTTTATTCCGTTGATTATGTATGAATCTCCTTGTCTGTACATGAAGTTCAGAGGCAATCATAAATATGTATCCAACAGAAACTTGAAGAAAATGGCATATAACGCATCCAGTGATTGCAAATATTTGTGGAAGAAGCTTGGATGAAAATATTGAGATTTGAGATACATTTCCTATATAATTTCATTGAAAGCTGTTGTTTTTAAAATCAATGATTTTGAAAAAGAGGACACTGCCATAAATACAGATGCTGCATAAACTCACCTTTTAATAGAACACTCAATATTGGTTGCATCAGAGGATGCAACTCTAGGTTCCGTCATTGCGAATCCTGACCTGATTTTTCCCTCAAGCAAAGGAACAAGCCATTCAAGTAGCTGCTCTTTGTTCCCATACCGCAACAATACCTGAAGTAAGGGGTTCAGTGTACAACCAGATCAATAAACCACGCAAAACGACAGACATATTTTACAGAAAAGTAACTAAACAAAAACCATTGCACTATTTAAACATATGTTCATCTTGCATATCATTAGGATCAAGAGATGCTTCTCCAGAAAAGGAAGCCATTTGGTTGTAACACTGGTTGATCATTCATAAGCAGTTGGTAATGTAAAAACTTTCCTACCTCCATATTTCCCGTGTCAGGTGCACCACAATTGAACACTTGTGGAGCCCAAACAGAACGACCCATGATCTCACAAAGATATCCATATTCGAGGTTTGAAAGACCTGCGCCCAATAAGCGATCGTAGGTATTCTCTGATAGAAGATGATTGCTTCCATCAAAAATCAATTTTCTGGCCCTGGCAGCACTATCAAACTTCACACAAGTACAAAGGCATAAGCCAATTATGTCCGTTGGAAAAAAAAAAAATTATGTTGCATATTCCAAACTAGGAAAAGTAAACATCAGACACATACAGGTATCCATAAGTTCCATAGGCCTTCTTTCTTTGCTAGCTCCTTTAACCTCTCCTCCTCTGGATGGACTGTCCAACGTGAGGTAGACTCAGCAAGTTTGTAGAATTCCTTTTCGATGGGATATATGTGATCTTCCAGGAACTTTAACAACCTGTTTCTCAATTCCAAAACCCTTTTACCGGGGACAAACTTCCCTCCCCCTTTTGAAAATACTTGATCTTCACTTTCGTGTCCAGATCTTTTCAAGTAGTCTTGAGAAACAAAAGCACCTTAGGCAACAGTTTGGTATATCAATAATCTTGCAAGTAATTATTGTTGAAAACTGAGAGAAATTTTTTTTGATCCATGTGCAAAAACATGTAATTCAAGGTCAACAAAATTTTCAGATGGCATAACTACCTGATGGAGGATGCTTGGGAAGCACAGATTCTCGTCTAATAAATTCCCATGCAAAGTCTATAATGAAATTAGCTCTTTCCCCTGCATGCTGGGCACTCTCTCCTCCTGAAGCATTACCCTGCATTGTAATGGTCAATTATCACTTAACTCCATATACAACGTCCCTGTAACTTGATTGCACAACATCCCATGGCAAAAGGGTTTGCACTAAACTGAACACTCAATTTTAAACTATTGCTCCAGAAGATACCATGATCCATCTACTATATATTCCTGCATAAATTGATGCTCCGCGAAATAAAGAAAAGGCAATATAGAACTTCCACTCCGAAGATGGCCATGGCTTTCCCTGCAATGCAACATTTCCAGCATAAGTCTGTCAGTGAACAGAAGTTTTCAAAAACAAAATAAACCACCCACAATAACCATGTACGGGACCATCAGGTGGACAACATTCATGACAATCAGTTATATAAACCGATTTTGAACACCTGAACTTAAACACTACTAA